TCACAAAAAAGATCAAGATCGAAGTCAAATATTCTAAACACATCTTTCAAGACAAGTGCTAAAAAGTCAAACATCTTAGAAAAATCTCGACAAGAAATATGTCAAACACTAGGCTTTTTGGACAAAATATAAAGGTACTAAATTTTTTATCCTTAGCAATGAATGATAAAAGCTCAAAAATATTTTTATGTACTAAAAGCAATTTTGAATATCACTTCATAAAATATTTTGATCAAAGGTAAAATTGATTTTCAAAATGATATTTGAACTTAGATTATATTTTAAGATATCATTTACCTTGAAAAACTAGTTAAAATACTTTCCAAAAGTCCACATTTCTCAAAACATTTGAATCGGTTCAAATGGGACCAAAATGAGAAAAACAGTTGGACAACGGTCAAATGGCCAGAACTGACAATCAATAGACAGTGGTCGGCCGACAGTCAATCAAAAAATCCAATGGCCCAAAATTTGATTGTTTTCACTTTTGACTTTGTCCAACGTTATATCTTGTTCATTCAAACTTTTGGTGGTCGTCCAAATCATCATCCGAACTTATAGAAAGTTTTGCATTTTTTATCTATAAATAGGTTCTCTTTCTACATTCAATGTAAGGATTTCCAAGTGTATTAAAGAGACATATTTAGAGTTAATCTTCGAGTTAAATAGCATTCATCTTTTCAACTTTTTTATATTAAAATTTTTTTATTGTTTAAATCAAACTCTCAAATCATCATATTTATTAAAATTTCCCATCTCTCTCTTGGTACGTAACTTATTGGTATCATTCATACAAAAGATAAATCTTTATACTTATATTGCATATTTTTTCTACTTTTTTATATCAAAAATTTTGACTGATTGAATTAAATTTTTAAGTCATCACATTCATCAAAATTTTCTCGTCTTACACTTGACCAATTATTTATTGCTAATTATTGAAGTGTTAGTCTGTCTTGAATTCACTTGTATCATTTACTAATAGAGAAATTTCATTATAAAATCATTGCTTTGAACTTGTGGACTATATTGAGGTCTCTTGAAAGCTCAATATTGTTCAAGGATTGATGTTCCTTATTGCAAGTCACATTAAGGTTCTTTAAAAACTCAATATTATATAAGGATTGATGTTCTTTATTTATAAATCATAAAAAAACATTGTAAAGTTTTAAATTACACCATAAGTCAATCAATATAGTGAAAAAGTCTTGCTCTCAACGAAAAGCTTGATAACTGATGACAAAGATTATTTATTTAAACTAAACCTTCACAATTATAATGTTTGAAACCTCTCTACACTTTTACTTATTTTTATTTACTTGAGATTGTTACTTAAGTAATCAACGTTCTAGTGATTTCTCTTTATTTATAAATCATAAAAAAACATTGTAAAGTTTTAAATTACACCATAAGTCAATCAATATAGTGAAAAAGTCTTGCTCTCAACGAAAAGCTTGATAACTGATGACAGATTATTTATTTAAACTAAACCTTCACAACTATAATGTTTGAAACCTCTCTACACTTTTACTTATTTTTATTTACTTGAGATTGTTACTTAAGTAATCAACGTTCTAGTGATTTACTTAATTTAAAATTAGTGTTTGAAAAAGTTTCAAAAACCAATTCACCCTCTCTTTATTAGTCATTCTTGAACTATCAAAATCAGCTTTAAATTTTAAAATTGATTTTCTCAAACAAGTTACCATCTTATAAAGTTCACGTTTTAAGAAGGAACCCCAAGTTTATTAAAGCTTTGGAGTTCTACTAAATGATTAACCTCATTAAGAATAGTAGCCTAAGCCGCCTTTATATGTTGGTTAGTGATCTTATTTAAAATGTGAGATTTTACCTTTTTAAGTCTAATTTAAAACATCAATAAAGACCTACAAGCAAACTATTGTACAAGACTCCACATATAAAATGAATGGAACTCTCTTTCTAGCATATATTTTCTAGTCCACAGATAAAAACTACTCACTGATTATTCCATTTCAAAGCAATCCTACTTTTGCTTGAATCAACTACTGATACAATTGCTATAGCAAACTATACAACAAGAAACCATAATTTATAACATTCCCTAACACCAGATGCGACGAAGTTAAAGGCTGCATTCGAAACTTTCTTATTTTCCGAACAAGTGAAATTTTCATCCTCGGCAAATTTTCCATCTACCACAAAGAAAACGAAAATTGAACAATTTCACTCAATGAAATATCCCTGCTGTTCTGCAAAACAGCGTAAATCCTAGTCATTAATGTATTAATGTTTACCTCTTTTTACAAATTTCGGCTATAAAGCTATGCTACCTACCTTAGCAGCTAGGAAGGCAGTCCTCAAGCATGTCTTGTTGCATCATCATGCAATTGAGCAGATCTTACATTACTATCCTCCTGCAGAGCAGAAAGGCCACTCAATAAATACACTGTATCAATTGAACGGTCTAGATAGTGAGGTACAAAACACAACTGCTCATTATGATCCCGAACAAGCAAGGTTCCGTGATTCTCAAAAGCAGCTCCCAGCCAAAACAACTCTGTATTAACCAAACTAGTATGACCACCTTTAATAAATTGGCAGGCTATGGGAAAGTCCATCATACAAGTTTGGTTAACATAGAAAAATTATAACTTCTGAATTTGACACACCCCCTCATGTGCAGAGACCTGATTCAATTTTTTATTGAAGGCCTGATGCTTGGATAATTTTCTAAAAAGGGTGATGGTTGGACTTGAACCTAGGTCTATTGCCTAATTTGGTACCATGTCAAACAATTAAATATTTAAATTTAGACTTCGACAAGATCATATGATAGTACAATATTTGTCGCTCTCAAATGTATGGCAAACTAACCCGAATGCCATATGTGAAACTTGGAGTGCGGAAAAAATCCAATTGACCCTGCAAGCATGAAGTTACAGTAATTTTAATCACCAGATTGAATTTGATTCCCCCAAAACAACCATCAACTGTTATAAAATCAAATACCAATCCATGTATGGTTTGCTGATTGCCATAATAGCCGTCGTGTGTAGTTGCAATAGAGTTCAGCTGGCCCTAAAAAAGAAAGCAACCAGTGGTTAAGCATGGTCATAAAAGAAACAACTTTGTCCTTTGATAGACGTGATAATGATGACATACTAGTCCCTGAATGGTCTGTTGGTTCCCATAGTAGTTATCGCGCGTGGGAGCCATCAAGTTCAACTGTACCTGCACAGACCAGACTGCCACTTAGGAGTAACCCCACAACTTCATTATGTTAAGAGCAACTCCTGGAATAAATCCCTTACCATTCCTTGCACCCCTTGTTGAGCTCCATAAAATCCATCAAGATTGACTGGCCGTGAACTCATTTTTTCCTACACAAAGAAAGTATCAATTACAAGTGAACCAAAACAAAAAAAAAAGGCAGGTGCTGACTCCTAATAACAATTTTTCAGTGCTAATAATATTAGCATGTTTGAATTGTGTGTGAGAGAATGGTGAATAAGTTAAACGTTCACAAGAACAAACCATTGGTTGCAAGCTTTCAGAAGTTCCAACAGTCATGACATCCGCCTCCGTGTTCACCTGAAATACAGATGATGTATAGTGAGGAAAAAATTGAAAGAATAATCAAAGCAAATACCAATCATTACAAACCTTCCTTTTCTTCAATGAATTCTTCTTCCTATTTGACTTGCTCATATTTCCACTTAGATTATCTTCTTCAGCGCAGAGAAGACCTGGTGACATGGATGTACCAGCTTCTATAAGATTTTTATTCGACTTGTTGACACACAAACAATTCTCAATAGCATCATCAAGGACACGGTGCGTTATATTATAAGTCTCCTGAGACAATGATCCTTCTTCAATCAATTTCATTGCTCGTTGGTATAAATCATTATAACGTTGCAACCTCGACAGAACCTGTTCAGATCCCTCTCTCATTAAGTAACTGCTCTTGGCATCTTTCGTCCACCGTTGCAAAATATATTGTGATGGGATATCAGAAATGCCATGGATTTGAAGAACCACCATTGCATGCCTACAAAGAAAACCTTTCAATTCAAATAAATGGCACATACAGGTTACTTCCAATTTTGCCTCATTCAACGTGACAATAAATTCCTGACTCTTTTCAAAATCTTGAACTTTAAAAGTAATGGTTGCATCAACTTGATCCTCAGTCCTGGGAATACAGGCAACTCCACCCAAGACTTCAATTTGAAATTTCTTAAACACAACGTGAGTGTATATCCCAGCCAACTGTTTCTCAAATGGTGAGGGAGATTTCAAAACGGGTTGTTTGTTCCAGGTATCGGATGATGCCTTTGCTTCCTCTTCATACCTTTCTTGTAGAATTGTTTCATATTGTTTTATAAATTCTTGCACAGTGGTCTTCTTATGTACATACTTGTCAAAGAAAGAGTTCACACTCTCCGATCTCTGAATTGTAGACATCCCAGCTAGAACTGCATCCTTCATTAATATTGGTACCCATTTTCTTCGATCTTCATATAACGACTGAAACAGTTCATTTTCTTTGAGTCCAAAGTTGTCAACCAATTCATTCCACCCATTTTCGAACTCCTTATCTGTCCATGACCTGTAAATGCACTCTTCAAATTTCACCATGAAATTTCCAATCTGTTTAATTCCATGATTCAGCATTTCAGAAACCCTCCCCATTATCTGCCACAAGCAGAAGAAATGGAAAGCAGATGGAAAAACCTCTGAAATTACTGATTTCAGAACCTTGTCTTGGTCAGAAATGATTACTTTTGGAGCTAGACCACCCATTGCTTTTAACCATGTTTTCATAACCCAGGAGTATGTAGCTGCACTTTCATCAGATACCAAAGCACATCCAAGTAGAATGAACTGATAATGTTGATTGACCCCAATGAAAAGAACAAGAGGCATTTTATACTTGTTTCTGATGTAGGTAGTATCAAAAGATACAACATCGTTGAGATAGACGTAATCATGCCTACTTTTGGCATCAACCCAGAACAGAGTCTTTAGGCATTGATCTTCAGCAACATCTATTGCATAAAAGAAGTTGGGATTCAGACTCTGCATCTGAATAAAAAACTCCAGCAACATGCTCATCTCTCCCACTTCCAGAGCCATATTCCTGCATTTATCGAATAAACTACTGGAGTCATGTTTGAAACCAACCGCGCTTTTGTATTCAGCAAACTGCCTGGCCATTGCAGCATACATCCTTCTTGTTTGTTCGCTTACAGCTTGGGCAGGTAGTAGTTCATGGTTATGCTCTTTCTCAAATCTATGAATTATCCATTTACCATCCGGCCTTCTCTTAACATGCATGCTTGCCTTACAATCTGTCTTTGAACATGCTCGCCGACCTGTAGCATTCTCTTGATCCTGCTTACTTCCTTGTCTACTTCGTGCCCGGTTTAGAGGTTTCTCATATTCACGCTTTGTGCCATATCTAGAGCATGCAAATTTTGCATCGATGAATTCCCTTGATATCTTTGAACGGCGGCTATTCTGAATTGCAGTATTGAATCCCATAGACCTAGCATATTCTTGATAAAAAGCGTATGCATCCCCGTGTGAGCCAAATTCCATACCAGGAAGTGGCTCAAGATTTGTCACATCATTATAATCTATATCTGCTACGATAGAATTCATGTCCTCTCCAACTTCAGTCTGTAACTTTTCACTAACATCTGCCATATCGCCACTAACTCCAACTATGCTGAGAGGTTTCTCTTCACCATCTAGCATACTAACAAAACCATTCGGTTCATCTTCTTCCTTATCATGTTCTCCAGAAGGCAATCTCAGATCTATGTCCATTACAGCAACCTATATGAATTCACTCAACTCTTGCATAAAGAAACCTGAAAGAAGAAAAAAAGAAAGAAATCAGGCCACTAAAAATTTATAGATCATACCAGAAAGGGCATGTCTGGTATTCAAGATTAAATAGGACTATACAGGATTAAGGAAGAGGCGTATGAGATGTTTGTCCATTTTCTGGTTAGTCATATACAATCCAGCATATCAGACATGCCCAGAACATGTACCGTACAACCAATCTGTACAAAACAAGTTATCAAGATACTCTCTCCATCCCACAAAGATAGGCTTGTTTTCATTTTTACACAAATTAAGAAAATGCATAGTTGGAAATATAAATTTTTCTTACATTTTATCCGATATTCCCCTACATTAAATAATGGTTTAAATAGATGTAATTCATATTTGTTGAAAATAAAGCATATTAAATAGGGGCATATTAGAAACTAAAAAATCAACCATACTCTCAATAAGGAAAGTAGCCTATAATTTGAGACATGCAAAAAAGGAAAGTAAGCCTATTTTTATTGGACGGAGGGAGTATTTGGCAATTTTAGACTGAAGGTTGTGATTTTGTGTCTTCAAAATCTGAATGTAACAAAGAGTTCCTAGCAATTACCTTGTTCGGAAACTACAAATATTGACTTCAAAACTTGCGTTTTTACTGCAGCAAAATCAAACTATGCATTCCCTATGATTAGCCGCTACAAAAGCCTGTGAGGAGGATAACACGCTTTTTGTTTCTGCTACCAGTTGTGAGAATATTAATAATATGCAATTTCTGAGAACTGCAACAAATTCCTCCTGAAAACAAACCTGCTTGGCAGATTTATTTGCAGCCAAACCAGACGCCCAAGATTAAATATCTTAAGTTATTCATCAGGAGGCATTCATTGAAGACACAAGTTATATAGAACTGATAGTCTATTGCTTGCTTCAAGTGTTTGACTACCTATTTAACCCTCTTCAAGGGGAGACTAAATTACATGTATGCAATGCATAACATGTTTCTTGTAAGCCTAAATATGTAAAAGCTCACGCGAAATTAAAAAATAACCTAAAATGAATTTTTGTGTTTAGTAGATTACAAATTGAGGCCCAGTCAAAAAAGATTTTCGAATCCAAGCTTTTGGAACCAAAAAAAGGGTCAAAATTTGAACTATAAATTTGAGAATCAAGTGGGAACCACTTTCAGACTACTCTGAACTTAAGTAGTTAAATGTTGGTATTTCTCAAAGACAAAAAGCATATAAGCCCCTGTTTGGTGTAGATTAAATCATATTTTTAGCAAATTTTGATAAAAGTTGATAAAATATGGGACTAAAAGTTAACTGTTGGCTTTGACTTAGAACAGGGCCTAAGCTGATTATCCTGCATTAACAATTTGGTAGCTCATGCTTTATTTTGTCTTTTCCAAAAATAAAAGTTCTATGGAGCTGGAGACTCCTATTAAACACTTTTTAAGCTTTCATCAGTAGGAAAGATCCCAGAACCAACATTCATACAATGACAAACAAGAACTAAATTTATCTTCAAGCAATAAAATACCTAACCTCTTGACTAATGGGAACCCGTAAAACTAAGATAAAAGCCATATGAGCCAGTACTACATCCACTAAAACCGGTGGCCGGATACTTCCAAAAGGACCGAGGCTTGCAGATGAAATTCTATAAAATTTAGGTAAATGAACAATATTTGTTTTATAAATCAAAAGTGCAAAATAGGTTACACATAAAATTGTTCAGAACTAATAAAACAAGAAATATTTGTGGCTCCTTTTTATATCAGAGAACAGAGTACTGTACTTAATCAAGATATCTAAGTATTCTCAAAAAACAGTGCTAAATAGTAATTGCTACAGTTGTCTTGTCCATTATCCACCAGTTCAATCGTTAAAAAGAAATTATATGCCAGTATAAATTTCCAACCTTCAATGCCGCGAAAGTAACGAAATGTTGCCAAAAACAGAACTTACATGAGATGTTATAATTCAATCCTTGTACATAAAAGAAAAGAAAAAAAAAAAAGAGGATTCCAAACCCCTGCTTCCCGTCACATTAATCCAACAACTATAAAAATATCCCAAAACGGGGAAAAAAAAAAAAAAAAAAAACCCCCACAGAAAGCAGTACTTGTTTAGAAATAAAAAAACACTCCCACCTGGCAAACCTGACAATTTATGTATCAAAAACAAAAGAAGCCCGAAAAATCTAAAAACATGTAACATAATCAACGCATCAAGAAGTTCAAAAGAAAAAGATCATTTGGGTGCAGAAATGATCAAATAAGTGGTGAATTATCATTAAACGTGTATTTCTGACTAAAATTTGAATGAATCATGACACAGAACAGAGAAATAAAAATTGACAAGAAAGTAAGAGAATTGAAAGAAGGTTTGTTGTTATGGAGGTAAAGGGAGTGGGTACTACCTGTAATTTGATGGAGTATGAGTATCTCTCTTCGATCTGCAAAACTACAAATCCACGCGAGGGTTCGAGCGAGTGGACCGTTTTTCCCAATTCTGCTGATTAGGGTTTGAGAGATTTTTTCTCGTACTCTTTCCTCTCGCGCGTGAACACTGCCCAGAAAAAAGGTTAAATATATTAATTAATAATAATTTCAATAATTGTAACACTGGAGAATTATAGTTTTAGTCACTAACTTGTGGGATTTGAACTAACTTGGTCCTTGGTTAGATTATCCATTAGAGTTGTCCTATTGCTATTAGTTGCATATAGGGATGTCAAACTAGCTCGGTGGCTCGGGCGACTCATGGCTCGACTCTAAAAAAGTTTGAGTTGACCTGGCTCATGGTTCGGATGGAGCAAGCCTAGGCTCGAGCCATCCCCATTTTGGAGCGTTGGCTCGTGACAAGTGGAGGTAAAATTGATTTTTTTTTGCTATAAATACAGGGTAAATTTTTTAAGTTTCAAATCAATTTGTTTCAATTGATTTTAACTTGCAGTATTATAGATTCAAGTTTTAACTCCAATTTCTTTGCTCTCAATCTCATATTCAATTTCTTTCACTCTCATACAGTCATAGTATAATATTCTGTATTTTATACTATACAATCTATACTTGTTATAAATGGATTTTACTAGTGATGAATTTAATCAGTTTAAGGATAGTTCGAGTACTCCATCCGGTTACGACGATGCATTTAGAAATGTTTCAATTAATTTGGAGAATATTGATGAGGAAGAAGTACTCGAGATTAAAAGGTCGAAAAAAGAATTCTCAGATTGTTGGCAACATATGACACGTAAAAAAGTTGATACTCAAAATGGGAGTGGATATTTGGAAAGCATATTGCAATTACTGTGGCAAAGAACTTAGTTTCGAGCACAATACATTTGAATAGACACATATTAAAGAGTTGCAAAGCGAAACCAATCGATCTCAACTCGAAACAGACCGAACTAGTGTTTGGAGGTTCTTATTCTACTCTTTCCACCTTTGTATATTCACTGGAAAGATTTCGTGAAGGAATAACTGCATACGTGGTTGCAACAGAGGATGGATTTTACTAGTGATGAATTTAATCAGTTTAAGGATAGTTCGAGTACTCCATCCGGTTACGACGATGCATTTCGAAATGTTTCAATTAATTTGGAGAATATTGATGAGGAAGAAGTACTCGAGATTAAAAGGTCGAAAAAAGAATTCTCAGATTGTTGGCAACACATGACACGTAAAAAAGTTGATACTCAAAATGGAATGGATATTTGGAAAGCATATTGCAATTATTGTGGCAAAGAACTTAGTTTCGAGCACAATACATTTGAATAGACACATATTAAAGAGTTGCAAAGCGAAACCAATCGATCTCAACTCGAAACAGACCGAACTAGTGTTTGGCGGTTCTTATTCTACTCTTTCCACCTTTGTATATTCACTGGAAAGATTTCGTGAAGGAATAACTGCATACGTGGTTGCAACAGAGATGTCGCTGACGATAATAGACTCAGTACACTTTACCCGACTCGTACAGAAATATCTCCAACCCAAGTATTCTTCTTATTGTAGAAATACTCTTCGTTCAAATACTATAAAATTATATAACAAAAGAAAATAAGTTGCTATTGAAATTCTAAAAAATTTTAATAGTGTTATATCATTTACATCTGATTTATGGACCGGTGGTAATAGAAAATGTCATATTGCTGCTACAACTCATTATATTGATCACATGTGGTTTTTACATAAAAGGATTATTGCATTTAGATGTGTAGCATATCCTCATAATGCCACTAACATATATATGGTTTTAAAAAATATCATACAAAAATATGGTATGCAAGATATTATTCGAAATTTTACTTTTGATAATGTTAGTGTGAACAAATGTGTTATTGAAAGATTTATTAATGATCTTAACCCTTCACTTGGAACTTTATTTTTTCATCAACGTTGTGTATGTCATATTATCAATTTAATTGTAAAAGCTGGATTAGAACATATAAGTTCTCCTTTAAATAAAATTAGACAAGTAATAAATTTTATTACTGTGTCACCAGTAAGAAAACAAGCATTTAACAGTTTGTCTGCAGAGTATGGCTTACATGAGAAATCATTTGCCACTGATATAACACATAAATTGAACTATACATACTTTATATTACATTCGTGTGAAAATTACGATAAAGTGATTTCATTATATTATAATGGTAGGCATACATACAGATCCGAACATAATTTAGAAGGTTGGGAATGGTCTCTTGCATTTCACGTGAAAAAATTTTTAAAATCTTTTTTCGATGCTACAAATGAATATAGCGGAGTTTATTACCTTACATCTTCACTTTTTTACAACATTTTTTCTACATTTCATTTATACAGGAATTTGCCCTTTTTCTGACTTAGTTTTCTATATATAGTTAAAATTTCGTAAATATTGGAAGAATTGTCCTCTTTATTTATTTTAACTTCAGTAATGGACTATCAACTTAATTTGAACGGTACAATAGCTACTGTAAAAGGGATTTCAAATTTCATGAATGTGGAATTATCACATGTGAATATAGAATCTACGTTAACTGAAATGTATAATTATTATGCTGATAAAGAAGGTAAGTGTAGTTCTACTTCTCAAAGTTCTTCTTTAAGAAATATTTCAACAAATTCAGATAATTTATGAAATTTTTTGGAAGGCAATACAAGTGTTTCCTCGTTTAATTCTAGTTCATCGATGTCTAGAGCGATAAATGTCGGTAGTACAAATTTTGAAATTCCCTCCGAGTTAGCTAGGTATATGTGCGTGGACGTTCGCAATGTGTTACCTGAAAAAGAATTACATGAATTTAGTTTTCTAAATTGGTGGAGGTGTAATGAAAGACAGTATCCAATTGTATCAAAAATTGCACGTGATCTAATAACACCACCGGTGTCTACGGTAGCATCAGAGGCTGCATTCAGTTCAGGTGGTCGAATTTTATCAAACGAACGTTCAAGATTAAAAGAAGATATATTGGAGGTTTTAATATGTTTGAAGGATTGGGAATGTACAGAATTACGTGTTCAAGAACATGTTGATAGTATACTGGCCGAAGAGTTGCAACAGATCCAAGCATAGAATGTTGTAAATTTTTAAAATAATTTGTTTCAAAACAATATGTAATTTTTAAATTTATTTGTTTCAAAAAAAATTGTACACAAAATATTCATGTACAATTTTAACTCCGCCTACATCACATAGCCGGTCCCAAACCCCAAAAAAGAGGAGGATTATAAGTTGTAATTTTTATTTAATAAGTAATGCAATTTTATAAGTTGTAATTTTTATTTGATTTGTAGTTTGTATAAATTATGCAATTTTTAAATTTTTTTAATAAAAATGTTAGATTTGTAATCTTGTATTAAAAAAACAAAAAACAAAAAAACGAGTCGGCCTGGTTCGGGCTCGACAAGGCCCGAGCCTTGATTTTTCGGCCAAGCTTTTGCTCGGCTCGACTCAAGCTCAAAAAAAGCTCGTTTAAAAGAGCTCGAACCGAGCCCAAGCCTCGAGTTTCGGCTCGCGAGTCGACTCGGCTCGCGAGTCGACTCGGCTCAACTCGTTGATACCCCTAGTTGCATAGTATCGCCACATGAATAGCAAAAAAAAATCCAACCACGATCCTTGTGGAGACCGCCCCGAATAGAATGAGGATTTTATTAGTTTAATTGGGTTGGTGAGGTAGGGGCAGAGCGTTGTCCGTACAGGAATGAGGAATATAAGTCCTATCTTGTTTATACAATAAAATAAAGATAAAAATAAACAAATCTTGCCCTAGGCGGAAGCCAATAAGGCTTGCCTCATTAACATTAAGCCCCTAATTCTTTAAATATAATTTCAAAAATCGAATATAGAAAATTCCATTGCTTTACTTACTCTTGCTCTTACACACGATTATTCGGCGTCCAGCTTCTTTTGCTCCCCTCTCGCCTACGATTTCTCTTCTTTTCCCTCGCTCTCACGAGTCACGATCAAGTAGGCACTAGTCTCCTATCCTTTCTATATTGCCGTTGAAGATGATCAACCTCTCACCTTCTCCGTCGTCTCTAGACTTGAGAAAGTGGGTATAAAGGTTTTTCTTTTGGAAATTAGGCAAAATAGCCAGGTCTCAATAAATACTAGGACAAAAGACATTTGACCTAAAATTTAAAATCCAAATAATTTTTTTAATAAGAAAAATGTTGAAAGCTAAAAATATCTTCAAACGAATCTAACAAAACAATTCTTCAAATTCCCTTAAATTCAAAATAACACTTCTTAAGGAAAATGAAATTATTGAAGAGATACCGTTTTCGGTAAAGAAAAAAAAAAGAAAAAAAGAAGAAGAGAAATTTCATAAACATTTAGCCAATTGGAGAATAACATGTAAGAAAAGAATGAAGAAATAAATGTTAATTGCACTGATGTAAAAAAGTATGGGCCGGTATGGAAAGACTTTCCCAACTTATAAATATTACTTAAATCATTTAAGATGTTAGTGAAAGTGAAATGATTTTATAACAATCATTCACTTATTCAAAATTAATATCAATCACATTTTGAATATCAACACTTATGTATAAGAATTATATATTTTTCTGATTTGAATCTAACTATGGTATAAATCT